TAAGAACCATTGGCTTAGTATTTGAATTACAGAAACGATGTAGACAACTGAACCACACATACGTTACTTTCTCAGCTTCCTCAGATTCTATAGAGACCATGACTGCGGGCAAGTCAAAAAATTTCAGTGTTTCTGTCTCTGTGAGTATTATCTCTATATTCTTCTCCAGGTCTTCTTTTGTTATCACTGTTTCAGGTGCCGCCCTCATAACTCGCAAATCTAAAATACATGATTAAATTATTAAAAATAATTAATTAAAAATCATTTATTAATTGCTATTTTTAATTTGCATTTTTCCTTCTAGTCACCAAAATACCATAATGGGTAATATATTGCAGGTGGTTTATATAGTCAAGGAACAGGCCAGGTTGTGAGATGCAGTCTGTTCAACTTTTCTGAAGCCAAATTGGATCGTGTAGGTCATAAACAGTCTTCCTTGCTGATATAACAAGCCTGCCCCAGTCTAATACCTACAGTCATAACTCTAAGGGCATTCCATTATAACTATCCCATAATATTAATTGGGAACTGGGGTTAGTGATTGTTGGTACTACTCAAGACTATGGAGGCAAGTACATTTAGGGAACATAATAAGCAACACTTCTTTGAGCCATGAAGTTAGCTTCTAATTTGTAGCTTTAGCAAACTTTTATCCTTCATTTGCCCTCATTAGCTGTCTTCTAATTTAGATGCCATTCCACCTCTAATCATCTTCATCAGGGGTAGAAAGATTCTCCTATATTAGTTCTGGTTGACTATAGAAATAAAATGGGCACCAATGTCCATGCAAATAATACAGTGAAAATAATTGGCCATAAACCTTTAGGACAGTCAGAAGTTGATCCAAGGTCACTGGAAAATTTCACTGAGAATTGGCTTTCACAGCTAGGAGCGTATAGAATTGGTTATGTGAGTAACAGCCATGAGAAAGTATATAAATGAGAGTTCAATATTTTCTATCAACAGAGTGTACAGCAGACATTCATGAGCTTTTGGGATAGGTAAAGCTTGGACAGCTTTAGGAAAACTTAAGAACATACACTTTCCAGCATCTCAGTCTCCTCTTAAAAAGGTTAGAGCTGAGAAAAACACCTTCCTTATAATCTAAAAAAAATACAAGTTATTAACACCAAAAACTAATCACCAATATTTTGAACAGCTAAATAAATTATGGTATGCCCATATATGACTATTAAGTAGTAAGTAATGTAATAATAAAAAATTTTGAAAATATATTCTAAAATATTAAATGACAAAGCAGTTCAGAACATGATCTACACTATGGTAATAAGAATGTAAAATATTATGCAGATGGACAAGGTCAGGAAACAGAAAATTTTAAATTGTAAATTTTCTTTCATTTTTGGGTGATTCTTCTTTTTTTAATCTTTAATTTTATTATTTGTGCAATAAATTTTAAAAATAAGTAAAAGATTTTATTTATATAAGTAAATCTGGCTAAGACAGACAAAATAAGTAAAAAAAGTAAATGAATTATCCACAAGAACAAAATTTAAGGTGTATATTGGCTAAACGTTTTATCAATGAAGAAAATGAAAAACAGAGAGGTTAAGTGAAAAGTCCACACAAGAATACCAGCAGTTTTGAGACTAGAGATTTAAGCTCTTGATTCTATGAGTTTTCTTAGACCACCAGATCTTCCTTTATAATTTAGTTATAGATACTTTAAAGTAGCATTGTGGCACAGACATGCTAATTATAAAAATAAATGATCCTACATTAGATATATTACATACATAGAACATAATACAGTAACATCTCAGTTATTATTGGGAAAGGAATAGTCTAGTCAATCTTCTTGTTGGCAGAGGAACTACCATTCATAGAAAAAGCCCTAGGATGGTAAATAGGAATTTTGCCTGGTGTTCTGTATCACCCATTTCCTAAATGTTGCTTGAATTTAATATGTATTCAGAAACTACCCCCAAACCATACTATTTACCCATAGAATCTATTTCATGAGTCAGATCCCCTAACTTTAGACTGACTATACCACAGATCTTGAGTTCACTTCTCTATCCACGTAGAAAAGAATCACAAATCTATCAGTCTGCTTTGCCTGCTCCTCTTGACTGCCAGTGATGGAGGGAACATCTTGGTTCTTCCCAGAGGAGGGAGCTCTAGCCTAGTATGACAACTATGGCTCCTCTTCACACCTTTACTCATGAAGCCACCTTGGCCTCCCAAAGTGCTGGGATTACAGGCGTGAGCCACGGCGCCCGGCCTGTTTTCCTTTGGTATCTATGTTGCTTGGTATTCTTTTTGTATCTGTGGTTTAGCGTCTGACATTAATTTTGAAATGTTCCCAACAAGTATTACTGCAAGTACTTCTTCTATCTCATTTTCTCCTCTTCTTCTACTCCAATTGTGCATATGTTACCCCTTTTGATATTATCCCACAGTTCTTGAATGACTGTTCTGTTGTTTTTTTTTTCCATTTGTTTTCTCTTTGCATTTTAGTTTGAGAAGTTTTTATTGGACTATCTTCAAATTAATTATTTCCTTAACCCTGTCAAGTCAATGGAGCTACAAAGATATTCTTCATTTATGTTGCTGTGTTTTTGATATCTAGCATGTCATGTTGAGTCTTTCAAATAATTTCATCTCTCTGCTGACATTACACATCTTGCACACTGTATACTTTTTCCATTAGATCTCTTAACATATTAATCATAATTATTTAAAATGCCCTGTCTGATAATTTTTAAATTCATATCATCACTGAGTCTGAGTTTGATGCTTGCTTGATCTCTTCAAAATATTTTTTTCTTGCCCTTTAGCATTCCTAATGACTTTGTTGAAAGCCAGACATATTGTATCCTATAAGAGGTGCTGAAGTAATTAGGCTTTCAGCAGAAGAATGTTTAATGTTGTTGTCGCTACAGGTATCAAAACATTTCTTGTTTTTGTTTCCCTTCCTGGCTTTCAGGCTTCTCTTTGTACTGCTTTAGAGAAAGTCTATGTCTTGCAATTTTTTCATCTGTAACCAGTGTGGTTACTCTGGAGGTTCCCTGGTGGTAAGTGTGAAGAAGAGAAGTAGTCTACAATCTGATTGAATCTCAGACTTTCAGTGAACCTGTGTCTTGGAGACATGGTGTTCACAAGTACATCTATTCCTACTCCAAGGCTATAGTTGTCTTATTCCTGCCCCTACTCCCTTCCTTGGCTGCAACATTCCCAACTGAATTCCATAAGCATTGTTAATTTTCCTCCTTAGTTAAGAAATAAAGGCTGGTGCTAGAGTAGAATTCCCTTACCCTAACTGGGCTATAGTATCAAAATTACCCTCTGGCAAATTTCCCCCATCCCCAGATTAGGTCTTTATTAGAAAAAGAGTACGTGAGTGTTTTAAGGTGGATAAATTCATTCTTTTCCTCCCCTACCAAGGCCACTAGCTCAGATCCTTACTGAAAGAATCCATTAGATTCCTAGAATGAAAGCCCATTTAAATGTGGGCCCTCTCCCATGATTGTGCTCCCCAGGAATTTTTTACTCTTCTACTAGTTAATACTTAGCCTCCAGCAATTCATGAAAATAATTATTCATGTGTTCCTCCAGCTTATGGTAAGTAACTCTTGGGACCTGCATGTCTCTGGATTGTCTGTCTTTCCAGATCTTAAGGTGGCAGTTTGCCCTTGTCACCCCAGTCCTCTGATGAGTAAAAAAAAAGTGAATTTTCAAATTGTCCCACTTTTTCTTGTTATAAGACATGAGTAAGGCCGGGCGCGGTGGCTCAAGCCTGTAATCCCAGCACTTTGGGAGGCCGAGGCGGGTGGATCACAAGGTCAAGAGATCGAGACCATCCTGGTCAACATGGTGAAACCCCGTCTCTACTAAAAATACAAAAAATTAGCTGGGCATGGTGGTGCGTGCCTGTAATCCCAGCTACTCAGGAGGCTGAGGCAGGAGAATTGCCTGAACCCAGGAGGCGGAGGTTGTGGTGAGCCGAGATCGCGCCATTGCACTCCAGCCTGGGTAACATGAGTGAAACTCCGTCTCAAAAAAAAAAAAAAAAAAAGACATGAGTAAATTTCAAATTGTCCAACTTTTTCTTGTTATAAGACATGTCTTATTATAAGACATAAGTAAACTCTCTAAATGTAGGATCAGAAACTGGAAGTCCACCCCCAGAATTTTTTATTCAGTAGATCTGGGAGGGGGCAAGTTTTAAACACGTTTTAAATATATTTTTACCTAGAAGTATATTAGAACAGGCTAATTTCAGGAATTTTGTAAGTCAGTTGTTAAACATAGTCATCACTCTAAATTATATACTTATTATTAAATAAATCATATTAAAAACAAAGATAATAATTACTCAAGGATCATCACTTTCTAATTATGCTATAAATTTTACTACTACCGTCCAGAAGCAGTGGCTCACGCCTGTAATTCCAGCACTTTGGGAAGCCAAGGCAGGTGGATCACTCGAGACCAGCCTGGTGAAACCCTGTCTCTACTAAAAATACAAAAATTAGCCAGGCATGGTGGCAGGTACCTATAATCCCAGCTACTTGGGAGTCTGAGGCAGTAGAATTGCCTGATTCCAGGAAGCAGAGGCTGCAATGGGCCAAGATCATACCACTGCACTCCAGCCTGGGTGACAGAGCTAGACTTTGTCTCAAAAAAAAAAAAAAAAAAAAAAAATTACTAGGACATAATCTCTTGCAGTTATCTGAAGTATCTATTGTATCTGTATGGTGGTGTGCTACTAAGTATATATTTGTAACTTCCCATTCAGAAATTTTATGTTGGGAGCTTGAAATCTGCTGTAATGAGAGGATTTATAACATGAAAATTGACAAATGCTGCAAATAAGGGTTTCCTTACCCCCTGTGTAGGTAGTAAAACATTTATCAGCATACTTACTACTTAGGCCTAAACCCTAGTCCCAGATACTGCAATTCAACTGACCTGAATTGAGACACAACTATGGGAATTTGTAAAAGCCATGCCAGGTGACTTTAACATGCATTCTAGAGTGAGAAACAGTCTTCTAGAACAGACTAAAAAAGAAGCCAAGGGGGTAGAAGTAGAATTGTTTAGGTGTCATTCACTTTAGAGGCTGACTTCGTAGTTAGAATTCACCAGCAACCGGCCAAGATATGAATATCTACACTGTTTTTCAAGTCTTCTGGAAGTAAATTTGTGCTACTTGTTTTTGATGTAGACAAGCAAAGAAAGGCTTCAAGGCAAATTGTTACATAAAGATTTAGTCTTTATGCTAAGAGCAATGCAAATCCCTTGAAGAGTTAGCTTCTAAGCAAAGGAGGTTTCTAAAAAATCATTCTGGATGTAGTTTGGAAAAATAGATTGGAAGGTGGCAAGAATATCTGTAGAGAAAGCTGGGGGAGGTAATGACAATAATCCAGTTTTCCCTGCCTCCAACTGAGAGAATGAGGTTCTCTCCTGCAGCACTCGTTGCTGATTGCTTAGGTTTTTATTCTAAACTCTTTCTCTCTTCCTTTGCCTCTTTCTTTTAATAGAAATAATACAATTAATAGAAAGCTAATGGCTATTAATAAAATTAATAGAAAGCTAAATACTTGATTTTCCAGCCTCTATTAAAGCTAAGGGTGCTCATGTCACAGTTCTGTCCAATGACATGAAAGCAGAAATATACAGGAAGAGGAAAGCCTTCTGGGAAATTTTTTACCTTCCTGAAAAATGAGAGAGATGTGATGGTGCTATTGCCCTTCTCCTTTCTGTCTTTAATGTGGATATAATGCCCAGAGCTGGGGAAAATATTTTGAGACCGTAAGACAAAAAGAAAGGCTTTGGGAAAGTGAAGAGCAGAACTGTCAATCCAGATTCTGACAAAATTAAGTCAAAAAAAAAAAAAAAATCAAAGCCAAAAGCTACTTTCTTCTTTTATTGTGAGAAAGGTAAATATTTGTTCAAGTTCTTGTTAGTTAAGTATTCTGTTACTTGTTGTCAGAGTCATTCCTGTTACATCTCCCAGCACCAAAAAGAAAAGTCCCTAAAGCACCAATTTTCCAATCTTAATACCTTCACCAGTCCCTCATTATCATTTTAAAGGAAAAAAATCCTTATTGCACTCCAAAGCAAGTACCCCTCAAGTATGTAACCATTTCTCCCAGCATTTTTAATCATCCATTATTATTTCCTCATTCTGGCATCTTTATTTTCATAATCCCTTCCATTATCTCATGTTTTAGCCTCTGCCTGGATTGGGCTTCCCCTACTTCTTCTGTGGATAAATAACTAATCATCTTTAAAAACCTAATTCAAAAGTCAATAATGTTCCCTGTGAAGCCTTTTTGTTTTTAACCTCAAAGGATTTAATCACTCCTTTCTAAGTGTTCCCATAACATTCCACATATGTCATTATGGAACTGATCATAAATGGATCAGAATTATTTGTCTCTGATTAGAAGTTGAGCTCAGTGGCTCATACCAGTAATCTCAGCACTTTGGGAGGCCAAGGCAGGCAGATTACTTGGGCCCAGGAGTTTGAGACCAACCTGGTCAACATAATGAAAACCTATATCTACAAAAATTGCTAAAAATTAGCCAGGTGTGGTGGCATGTGCCTGTATTCCCAGCTACTTGGGAGGCTGGGATGGGAAGATCACTGGAGCCCAAGAAGCAGAGGTTGCAGTGAGCTAAGATTGCACTTCAGTCTGGGTGACAGAGTGAGACCCTGGAAGAAGAAAGAAGGAAGAAGAAGAAGGAAAAAGAAAGAAGAAGAAGGAAAAAGGAACAAGAAGAAGAAGAAAAGAAGAAGGGGAGGAGGAGGAGGAGAAGAAGAGGAAGAAGAAGAAGAAGAAGAGGAGGAAGAGGAAGGAGAAGAAGAACAAGAGGAGGAAAGAGGAGGAGGAGGTGGAAGAAGAAGGAGAATAAGAAGAAGAAGAACAAGAGGAAGAGGAGGAAGAGGAAGAAGAGGAAGAGGAAGAAGAGGAAGAAGAGAAAGAAGAAGAAGAAGAAGAAGAAGAAGAAGAAGGAGAAGGAGAAGGAGAAGGAGAAGGAGAAGGAGAAGGAGAAG